TGAATGATAATGTGGCATTACTGAGTATTTAATAGTATTCTGAAAAGCTAGAACATTGCTTACTAAATGGTATTGGTAGTTACCATCTCTTTATAAATTTACCTTTAATGCCTCAAGATATACTTGTAACATGTAGAAAATACCTATAATTTAGTTTTAGAAAGAGGGAAGATAAGCTTTCCTGGTATCATGAAACTTAGAATTAGGCAGCTGTTTCAGGATAACTGCTGATACTGTGTGTGTAGGTGTGTTTGAAAACATTAATAAAAAAGGGCTGTGTGGAGTAGAAAGGATCTGTGTAAGTGCTCTGCTTCAGTTGCTGTCAGTGGAGAGTACAGCTCCTTCCTGTTCTTATTCAGTGTGTTAACACTGAGCAGAGGAGCCAAGGGGTCCTTGCAGCTATATAACATTTATGTTTCTTAGAACAAGAAACTTAGAATTTTGTATGTGGTTGTATAAAATTCATATATTTAAAGTATTTTATTACCTAAGAAGTAATCTTGTCTTAGTCTCAGTCTAGTCTAGCTGATTTCTGTTATTTGTACTATTTTGTAAGGGCCTCCCTGCTGGATGAGTTTCCTTGCTAGTTTTAGCTTTATGGGATAGAGATTTTAATGAGAAAATCAGAAGCTAAATTATTTTAAATGCATATACTTAAATGTTTAAACACTTCTCTGGGGAGAGGTGTTTGTGATAGAGGCCAGAGATAATAGATAGTGTTTAGTTTTCTGTTATAATATATAACATGTCTTTTTAAGGTATCCTTTGTAAATTAAGTATTTTGAAGGTGTTCAGCTGTTTCCCTACTATTTGAGATAATCATAAAAATTCCTTTATGTGTAGTTAGTACTTCCTGGTTTCTTTGGAATTTGTATAGTAATGACTGGGTGCTTTGACTAACACAGCACCCTGTGTTTGAAATAGTCAGGAAGAAACAGGAGTTTTCTAATTTAGATCTCGACTTTATCCTTCTATTCTCAATTGTTCTCATGTCTTTAGTTTGCTAAAAGAGATATTTATATAGCTAGTGCTGCTCAGGAACTTGCTGTGCAGCCCAGGGTTCCAAACTCAGTCTTCCTCATTACTTCCATGGTGCTAGGATTATAGGAGCACCACCGTGTCCAATATTTAAGATCCACAGTTTTGTTGTTGCCTATTTTATAGTCTTCCTGTTAATTTTACTGTATGTTTTCATAAAAATTTAGTAACTGCCCATTTTAAAAACCGATAGGATGAATCACTTTAAAAGTAAAAAGTTAATAGACCACAATGTAATGCTTAAAGATAAAAGTTTTGCTGAAAAACATCTTTGTTTTCATTACATGCAGAGTAGGTTTTTGGCTTCCAGCTGAAGAGTCCTAAGTATTTTAAAGTCAACGGTCCAGATCTATGAAAGTAAACATACAAATGGGAGAAACTTTAGAAAGTGTAGATTTAAAAAAAAAAAAAGCCATGGAGAAAATGAGATTCCTCTGATCAGATTTTCTACATGAAAATGAAATTAATGTGCTAGTTTAGCTGTCAGGAATACTGCAAATTATAATTTAAAACAAAAACTTGTTGAAAAATACAACCTATTGATTGGTTTTCTAGGTCTCTTGAAGATTTGATAAATTACCAAACCTAGAGAACTTGCTATCTGTGACTCTACCTAGACTTCTTTCAAATTTTATAAATTTATTATAAAAATATTTGTAAATAAATAAAAATTTTTTCGCATCCAAATTAGCCAGACCATAAGTTTGTACAACTCTGTTAACCTCTATATAGTTAGAATAGGTATTTGAAATGGAAAAATATATACATTTTTATACTAAATTTTACACTTTTAGTACGAAATATATTTTATGCACTTAGTTACCACCAAAACCAAAAGATTTATGCTAGAATTAGAACTAAAAAAACAAATGTGGGGGACTGGAGAGATGGATGGCTCAGCGGTTAAGAATACTGACTGCTGTTCCAGAGGTCCTGAGTTCAATTCCCAACAACCACATTTTGACTCACAACCATCTGTAATGAGATATGGTACCCTTTTCTTGCCTGCAGGTATACACGCAGGCAGAACACTGTGTACATAATGATAAATAATATCTTAAAAATAGCTCCATTTAAGAAAAAAATAATTACAAATGTGTCACCTTAGAAATTTTGTTTTTACTGCTCTAGTTTGGGGACTATTTTAAATTCATTTTATTTTAGTTAATGTTCCTCATCTCATTTAGCTTTCATTGACTATTGAGAAACTGTAGCGTTAATTATATACAATCAGATGTACTGGAATTGGAATAATAGGATTGTGAGGCACCATGAGGGTGGTAGGAACTGAACCCAGGTTTTTGCAAGAACATAAGTGCTCTTAACCGCCAAGCTTCTCTCCAGCTCCTTAAGGCAGTTTATAATGTGAGAGTTGTAAATTTGTTGTTGACTTGAGATTTAGGATTAATTTCAGGATAGTGTGAATTGTTAGTTACATACTTTATATTCAACCTCATTTAACAAAACATTTTGGTGATTCAAGATTAATGAGTTTGTTTTTCCTTTTGTAATATTTCTTAAAGATTCTGATCCAAATTAGTTTGGGTGAATTCATTGGGTTGATAGATTTTCTCTTTGTAATTTATAGGCCAAAAAAGCTGATTATTTGATGGGCATATTTTAGTTCCTTACCTTTATTTATCTTCCTGTCTGTTTTCATCTCATCGTAATGTTAGCAGATCTCTAAATGATTCTAAGGACAAGCCCTAAGTCCTTTTATTAAGTGATTGCCCAGTTTCCAGGTCTGTAGTGTGCATTTACATAATCTCTTTAATTTCTTTGACCTTTTAAGGCTATTGTGAGTATAAATGATAAAACTTTTCTTAGTCACATGTTATAGAATATTTATGTAGAAATGAAGATGTTAATAGTTAATTGGTTAGGACCTTATCAGCTCTTTTTGTGAACTATTTTAGTTATTCTGGGAATAAGTGGTAATCTGATTTGAAGAAAAACAAGAACTAAAGAAAAAGAAACTTTAGATTTGTGATAAGGGAGAGGGAACATTTAGTCCGTTTTTAGAGAAATATTTTGTATTAAGTCATTAACAAGAACTCTGGTCATCAGTTAGCACATAGTTAAGTGTAACATCTCAGAAGAACAAGGAAGGAAACCTATTATTATCTCTTTAAGTCAGTCTCTATAAATTTCTTAATAATGAAGGTGATATTAGTTGCCACTCATACATTATTTCATAAAATACACTGGACTTTTATAATCTTAAATATTACAAATGACAGCTAACACAGGGAGAGAGATAATTTTTAGTGTGACTTTTAACTGAAGTATTTTAGAAGGAGAATAATTCAGGCCATTTGTTGCTTTTACTATCTTGTAAACCGTTTGTTACTTCATATATGAAACATTTCTTACTCTATGACATGTAAAGCTAGTCTGCAGCTCTGTTATTTTAGGGCTATTTTAATTCTGTCTGAGTTTGCTTTATCATTTCTTATTCTGCAGTATATCCATCCTTGTTAGTAGCACTAAATTAATTTTTCTATCATACCACCTTGCCAGGTTATGTGTATGAGTGTCCTTTTCACATTAAAAATATTTCCATTAGGTGAGATGTGTGGTGCACACCTTTAATCCCGTCATTTGATAGGCGAAGCCAGGCTGATCTATATAGTGAGTTTCAGCTCAGCCAGAGCTACATAGTTAAGACCCTGTCTCAAACAAACAAATCTTTCCATTGCCTGTAAACTGTACTTAAAATATCTTGGCCTTCTAATACAATTAGAGATTGGGATTTTTGGTCCTAGGGTGACCACCTTAATGAGGGTGTAATTATTTATGTAACTGAAGACAGTGTTTCCTAAGCATAATTCTAGAAATTGATAGAATAAAGAATGGGACAGATAAGGTGCCAAGCTTGTCTTCTAGCACGATTTTCTGTGTTTTCCTCCTTTCCCGTGAACATAGCCAAGGATTCGGTGCCTGCCTCTTACTACTTATTTTCTCCAGTAACGGTGCTGCAAGGTCCTTGAAAGCAGAAACTACGTGTGTTCTGTGGTATAACTTAGAAAGAGTTTCTAGTAAAGTACTGTATTAGTAGTCTCAGTTTTTAATTTACATTCATTTATTGGGGGGAGGGCATGTACCTCATGGTGTACTTGTGGAGGTAAGAGAAAAACTTATTGAAGTCAGTTCTCCTCCTCTCTCTCTGTTTTTTTTGTTTTGTTTTTTTTTTAGTTAGAATTATTTAATCAAGAATTATTACGAGGGGCTGGAGAGATGGCTTAGTAGTTAAGAGCACTTGCTGCTTTTTCAGATGACCTGAATTTTGTTTCCAGCACCCATGTGGCAGCTCATAACTGTCTGTAACTCCAATTCCAGGGGTGTCTGACACCCTCTTCTGGATTCCTCAGGCTCCAGGCATGTCTGTGGGATATATCCACACATGCAGGTACTCACACATAATACAAATAAATATTTTAAAGAATTATTACTGAGGCCCAGTGAGATGGCTCAGCAGGTAAAAATATACAAGCCTGGCAACCTGAATTTGATCTTCGGGACCAGGGTGGAAGAAGCAGTTCCTGAAAGTTGTTCTCTGACCTCTGTAACTGCCAGCTCTCTCGCTCTTTTCACCTGTACAATAACAGCTCATGTTATAGCATGATTTATAAAGAGTATCTTGTCAGTCTGGTGAGATGACTTAGCAGCTAGAAGCACTTGCAGCTCAAGCCTGACAACCTGAATCAAAAGTTTATGCAGTGGTGTGCATGAGTATTTATTCTCTCAAGCCAACCTGGAGTACAAAGTACAGATTTATGGAGGCCCTTCCTCAGCAAAATGGAAAGAACAAACCCCTGTCTTCCACATGTGTACCTGCGCTCACAATAGAAGGACACATATAGTCCATAAATAAAAAATTTGGCATGTTCAGTTAAATCATCAAAGTTAAAATAGTTTTTCTGATAATTATTTTTTAAAGCAAGTTTTTCTTTTCTACCTAGGCCTTATTGAATTTGAAGAGTGTGACCCTGCTAGTGCAGTTGAAGGTAAGGTGACTATACTTAACTATATGGGAACTAGTGTCTTCTGCTTGTTGAGCAGATAGAAAGGGACTGCTTTCTATTGATGTTATAGCACAGTGCTAAAACACATATATTTAATGGTCTCAGATACTGAACCCAGGATCTAGCTTGTACTCTACTACTGAGCCACCTTTGTAACCTAACATAATACTTTTAAAAATACATGCAATGAATTACGTACTTTTTACCCCTTTATAACAGCTTTGCTGGCCTGGAACTCACTCTGTAGACCAGGCTGGCCTCAAACTCATAGAGATCCACCTGCCTCTGCTTCCCAAGTGCTGGGATTAAAGTGTGTGCCATTTTTATTTTTTGAGTTTTAATATATCTTCATATGCTCATTTTACCTGAAGTTACTGAGGGAATATTTACCAGAAGAAGAGAATTTCTTTAAGTGAATATTCTATAATCCTTTAATGAACCATATTGCATTACATAAAAGTTGAAACAGACTCTGAATATAAGTTGAAGGCTTTACTAATTGATGCTTTTTATGTCATTTGTTTGCTCATTGTTTCATCCATTTATTCATTCATTTATTAGGATTTTGGGGATAAAAGAGTTTTGCCATGTATCCTAGGCTACCAACAAACTTAAAACCCTCCTGCTCCAGCTTCCAGAGGGCTAGGATTACAGGTGTACACCACCACTCCTGAAGATGCTTTTATTTCTTTTATCCAAAGTTTGCTTGTCACAAAAAATTTGTCTGAGTGTTTGTGCTTTATATCCTTATCAAGAACAGTTACATTTCTATTACAATGTGTATTTATGTTAAAGGCATAAAACCAAGGAAAAGAAAGACTTTTGCTTTGCCTGGAATAATTAAGAAGGAAAAGGATGCAGAGTCTGTGTAAGTATTTTAAATATCGCCCAAATCCTTTTCATTGTTTCTGAGTGACTACGAATTGCTTTGATTTTGAAAAGAAAAGGTCCTTTTGAAAGTATTCAAAATGTATGTCTAAACTGGAGGAAGAAAAATCCTTTTAAATGATTAGATTCACCAATTTCTCTGATTTTAGTTCATGATAACTTTTTCTCATTTACTATGTTAAAATTTGAAGATATTTTAGACAAAAGCTGATGTGCCCAGGACCCTTATGTAGAAAAACGGGAGCCAGTTCTGCAGGTTGTCCTATGGTCTCTCCCCCTCAACAAAGTTTTAAAAATGTCTACTGTTAGACAGCCCTGTAGAGTAGACAGCTTTGTTATCACACTGAGTGAGTATGTTCCTAGAAAAGAAGTACACCTACAAGCATTTTAGATTATGTGTGAGCTGTTCATGTTTAACAGCTATTTTTGAGATGAGAATGTCCACTTTTGAATTTTAAAATAAACTGATACTGTTTTAATCTTCATGACTTTGTTTCTCAGTATATTTTTGTAAAATTCAAACAAAAGCTATATTTAACTATTAAGATATTCTAAATATGATCTAATTAGCAGATAGTTTTAATAATTGAATCTTGCAATACTTTATTTTTTTCTTTTTTTTAAAACAGGGAATGTCCTGATGCAGATTCACTTGTAAGTAATTTTAATTTTATTACAGACAATTTAAAATATTTTCATTAGAAAAGACATATTTGACTTTTTAAATCAATCTTCAAAGAAAAACACCATGTAATAATTTGCTGCCCAAATTATTATAAAGGTGTATTTCAGTTTTACATTATAGTATACTTTTCTGCTAAACTGAAAACACTTCTCACTGTGAGAAATGGATTTTACTTTTAAAATTTGTGTGGCACCGTGTCATCCCTCACAAATGAGAAACTTTTATAATTTAGGTTCTGTATTTGTTTTTTATTTTTAAAGCTGGTCTCTTCCTCCTCCTCCTCCTCTTCTTCTTTTTTTTTTTTTTTTTTTTTTCCAAGACAGGTTTTCTATGTAGCCCTGGCTGTCCTGGAACTCTCTCTGTAGACAAGGCTGGTCTCAAACTCACAGAGATCTACCTGCCTCTGCCTCCTGAGTGCTGGGATTAAAGGCACGTGCCACCACTGCCCGTCTTAAAAGATATTTTTACCTGTCATGTATCTGGTTTAACACATCATTTTAGAAGCTATAGCAACAACAATTATGGTCACTGTTTTTGTTGTGTTTGTGTGTGTGTGTGTGTGTTTAAGATTCATTTCTATTTCTTGGTTATATGTGCTTTTTATAAGTAATTAAAGTAGTTAACAAGTTAAGTTCCCAGTGGTCTTAATGCACGAGTAGATTTACGAAATGCTGTAGGTAATGTGTAATAGATGTAGTTATTATTAGACACTGATTATGTTGATTAGTGCAGGAGTTTGAGTAGTCTGTGTTTTTTGGTTTCTTTATATGCTTCAAAACATTTTAATCTTAAATGATGTAGTGTAACAAAGAAATGAAAGTATTTTGATAAAACACTGTCTCTTATGTAACGTAGATAGACTAGTATTTTCTATTTCAGCCTCTAAGTAAGAAAGCTGTGGTTTATTAATAGCCTTATTTGAAAATTGATGTTGGAGATATAATATAGCTCAGTGGTTCAGAGCATGTACTGCTCTCACAAAAGACCTGTATTTGGTTCCTAGCCCCGACTTCAGATAACTTCACAACTGTCTGAAACTCCAGTTCTAGGGTATCCTGTGCCCTCAGGCCTCCTCTTCATCTGCACACACATGGTACACATAAACTCATGCAGGCACACTGACATACACACAAATAAAACTAACAAATATTTTAGAAATGTATGTTAAAATTAAAGAGTGAAAAATCACCAGAGAAGCTTAACTGATTAATGAAGTTAGCAGGTGTGTTTGATATTTACTATAGCTTTCATCAAGTATTTATTTTGAAGTTATTTATACTGTTTGATGGTTACAAATTTTAGTTAGACCTTTATTAGAACTATCTTAAACATCATTTTGAGTGAGGTAATCCAGACCGAAAAAGACAATTATCATATGTACTCATTCATAAATGTTTTTTAAACATAAAACTAAGAAAACCAGCCTACGATTCACAATCCTAGAGAACCTAGACAACAATGAGGACCCTAAGAGAGACATATATGGATCTAATCTACATGAGAAGTAGAAAAAGACAAGATCTCCTGAGTAAATTGGGACCATGGGGACCATGGGAGCGGATAGAAGAAGAGGAGAAAGGAAGGGAGGAGAGCCGAGAAAAATGTAGAGCTCAATAAAAATGTAGGGCTCAATAAATATTATATATATAATATATATTCTCTTAACTTTTTAATTGTTTCAGCTAGGTGACACAAAGGTCATTATCCAATTTTATAGTATAATTATCAGTCTTTAAGAAAAGTCTAAAGAGAATATGATGTTCTAATACCATGGAAGAAAAGATTGGTAAATTTGATTGTAGAAATAAAAAATTTGTTGTTAGAAAAAAGTACCGTAAAGGGTTTTGTATCACCATATTGAGAGAGCATATTAAAGGATACTAACAACAAAGGAACTTTAATTTTTTTTTATGTATTATTTAGTTTACTAACTAAGCAATTGTTTCTCAGGACAAGGATATAGGTAGAAGCAAAGCAGTTTTCTTTAAGTAGTGAATAACCATAATGAATATCATTTAGAGATGATGCAAAATTAAACAGGCAGTTTTCATAATATCGGCAGAAATGTTTATATACACATGCCATTGTATATGCATTATATATATGCATTAGATATAAATTGGGGCAGTCTGTTTTCTGGATAATTTGGCAGTATCTCTCCAAATAAGAAGTATATGTTATTTTTAAGCTAATAGCTTTTTGCTCAGTATTTACTATTATGACTGTATTCATATAAAATCTGTAAATATCTACAGTATGTACACACATCCTCATGATTGAGGTACATGCATTATAGAAACTGAAGAGGGGATAGATATGTTTTTATTTTTCAGATTTTATGTTAAAACATTAGGAAAATACTCAACAAATAAGAACTTGTTAAGTAAATTTTTATATAGGCAGCTTAAAAAGAATTAGGTTGATCTATATATCTTTTAATATGGAAAGAATTTATTAAAACTAAGTGTGACCTCTTAAGTGATATCAAAAATAAAACCTGTCAAAAAGTAATTGTAGTTGGTTATTTGGACAGAATAACTACCCCGATTACAGGCAGGAGAGGATACTTATTGTTTAGTTGCTTCATTTGTTTATGGCCAGTTGTTGTTACTTACATATGAACTGTTCATGGCCTTATCTTCTAGTTATTTTAAGTCTCTGTACATAGCTCTAGCTGTTCTGAAATTTACTTTGTGGATCAGTCTGGCCTCAAACTCACAGAGATAAACCTGCCTTTGCCTTCCAAGTGCTGGGTTTAAAGGCGTGTGCCTGGCTCTTCTATTTATTTTTTTTTTAAATATCAATAAGCTGCTTTATAGGTAAAATATTGTTCATTTGATGTGCTACATCTTTCGGGGGTTGCTTCAGGAATATAGATTACTTTCTTGGGGCCATGGTCCCCAAGCAGAGATTATGAAACTTTGCATTGACTCTTAAGCTCCCTCGTAGTATATTTACCTAGTTTGATTGGTTGGTTGGTTTCACAGTTTTGCCTCATATTCCCTAGTGGTAAGATTACAGGTGTGTGCAATGTTTTTTGTTTTGTTTTGTTCCCCCTCTGCTCAGACAATGTTTGTCTTTATAACTCTGGCAGTCCTGGAACTCTCGAGATCAGGCTGGCCTTGAACTCAGAGATCTGACTTCTTGGGTGCTGGTGTCAAAGGTGTGGGCTGCCACACCTGGCCACAGTGCTCTTTTAGAAACCATTACTACCACAACTATATTTTAAAGTGTTCTGTTCTTCGAAATTGTTAATGACAAAATACTTCATTCCAGTAGTGAGAGCCGAAGTATAGAAACCATGGGTTGAATGAAGATATGTCATGTTATCTGTATGTTTTTATTAGCATTAACATTCTAAGTATTTCCAGCATTTGTAAAACTTAAGTAACTAACTCAGTTTTGTTGTTGTCTTTTAAGTATGTGTGTATTTGTCTGGGTTTATCTTATGTATGTAGATGCTTTAGCAGCAGTCAGAACAGGGTCTCTGATGCCCTCTTGGAGTGACCCACTGGACACTAAACTTGGGTTCTCTGGAAGAGCAGGAGATGCTCTTAGCCACTGACCCATTTCTCCAACACCATGCCTTTTTTTAAAAAAGAACCTATCCAATACAGTTATATAAAGGGGAATACATTAAGTAACCTTTGCAGATTGGCTTTTCACTCTACCTAGTTCTCAGAGGGTTCATCCAGGTTGTAGGCATAATAAATTGATTTCTTTTTGTTGCTTAGTAATACCACAATTTTTTATATGTTATTTTGGTCTCCCCCCCCCCCCCTTGTTTTGTACTGCTAGAAATAAGCTTTCTAGCCAGGCAGTGGTGGCACATGCCTTTAATCCCAGCACTTGGGAGTCAGAGCAGGCAGATCTCTGAGTTTGAGGTCAGCCTGGTCTACAGAGTGATCTCCAAAGGTACACAGAGAAACCCTGTCTCAGAAAAAAAAAGAAGAAAGAAAGAAAAAAGAAATTTTATGTGAACAATGTGAACAGGTTTTTATATAGACAACTATTTATGGTTGATAATTTTATTTCTGAAATCCAATATTAAGATAGTCCCTTTTAGCCTTTCTTATTTTTTGTTTGTATGTTGTATTATTTTTCTATCCTTTTCTTTCAATCTATTCAAATTTGCATTGACCTTATTATAAACATTGCATCATTGAATCAAGTATATTTCATTTGTTCTGCCATTCTCTTTAATTAATTATAGTAGTAAATATGTTTTTTCATTTATTAGTAAAAATGTATTTCATTAAAATTTTTGAAATATTGTTTTTAGTTGGTAAAATAATCATATATACTTTTAAGATATCATTTGATATTTTTAGTATGTGTATACAGAGTCTAAGAGCAGATTAGAATCATTGGCTTAGTCCAGTGAATTATTTCTCAAATATTATTTTTTAGCTTCTACACATTAAATAAAAATATTAAATATTTGTCTTTCTATGTCTGATAAATCATTTAGCATAATTTCCTTCGACCTGTTCCCTGTAACTGCACATGATAAGATTTATTGTTTTTAAGTCTGTTGCTGAATGCTATTCCACTGTGTCTGTGTATTGTGTTTTATTTACCCATCTTTCTGCTGATGGGTACCATGCTTAATTCCATGTCTGTCTGTTGAAACTAGCACTGCAGTAAACCCAGGAGTACAAATTTTTTTTTGAAATTGAAATTGGATCAATCATTTAGAGCTTTTTAATGCTTGCCCTGACTTACTCTTCACTACCTTCAGATAGTTTTATATGTTTCCACCACACTTTATAGTTACTATCTGCAGGTAGATCCAGAAGCCACCTTTTAGAAAATGGCTTTTCAGCCTATATGTAGTTGTATTATTGTCTTCTAATGCTTTATTGCAATTTGAGTTTTTTAGAATGTCTAGTCTGTCTTCGTGAGCAATCCTGTCTCTGTCTCCCGCTCTCCCTCTGTTTAACTTTCTAGTTATTTGCTGAAGAGACTAAGTGCTTTGTAGTTTCCTATAGCCTGGATTTTGCTGACTACATTAACATCGTAAATTGTTTCACTTCTCTGTGTTATATAAATTTCCACTTAGTTCTGTAGTCTTGATCAGACTTAGATTCAATGGGTTTTGTTTTATCTCCCCTGGATGCACATGGTGATTTTTTTTATTTTTTAATACTGATCCAATATATTAGGTTGTTCATTGGCTAGCCAAGACTTTAATCTGCTCTAAAGAAGCACTGTGTCTTATATTTTCATATAGCTTCTTATGACATTGAGAGACTATTTAGCCTGACCATAGGTTTTTAAAAGTCACCTATTCCTTATTTTAACAGTAATGTTAACTTGAGCATTCTGAATGGACTTTCACCTTGGCTGTTTCTCTTTTTTAAAACATTCATTTTAAAAATTAATTTTGTGTGTGTGTGTGCATATATATATCTATCTGTATGGGAATTTATGCATGTATATGCCCTCAGATGTGAGACTAGGGTGTCAGATCCTCTTGAGTTGGAGTTAGAGGAAGTTGTAAACTGCCTGATGTGGATGTTGAGAACCAGATTGAGGTCTTCTAGTCAAACAGTCCGTTTTCTTAACCATTGAATCATGTCTTGTACCCCACCTTGGCAGTTTCTTGCTCTGAAATTATGAATTATGACTCATTGCATACTTCAGGTTTTTCTTCAGATTTTTGAGGCATGGATTATGATTTGAAGCTAATTAATAACTGAAGAGATGTATTTCTTGGTATTTGATTAAATGATTTAGTTTTCTTTCTTTTTTATTTTTATTTATTTATTTTTTGTTGTTGGTGTTTTTGAAGAAGCTCTATCTGTCTTGGAATTTACTCTGTAGACTATGCTGGCCTGGAACTCAGAGATTTCCCCCTCTGCCTCCTAGGATAGGATTAAAGGTGTGCACACCACACCTGGCTCTCAAGCTGTCACGTCCACCCTCGACCAGCAAGGAAAAACACAACACCCGGAGCTCTTCTTGCAGCAGTTTTCAGGACTTTATTCACAGCAATCTATCTCCTTCTCCTTCTCTTTCTCTCTCTTTTCCCCTCTCCCTTTTTTCTCTCTCTCTGGGCAAACCTCTCTCAGCTCTTAAGTAGGCATGGGCTGCCAATCCCGGATTGCCAGGTGGGCACTGCCCATAGGCCCACGCATATGCAAGCAGCTAATGATCATTGGGTGATCAGGCATAAGTCAGACTTTAGCCATAGAAGTTGATTATACATCTCCATCAGTTGTGATTCCACGCAGCTCGCTACATCAAGCAATATCTTAGACTATAATTGTTTGTTAATCTTTAGTGTCTGAATATTGGCATTGTCATTATATTAACTCTTTACAATTTTTTTCCTAGAATATTCCTGATGTAGATGAAGAAGGTTATAGTATTAAACCGGAAACAAATCAGAATGATATCCTTTTATGATCTGGGTGTTGTTAGTGGATTTGTTGATAGCATAGCTACTTAAAGCCTTTTCTGTTCTAATTAACTGAAATATGACTGTTTTTCATTTTATATGCTTTGTTACTTAAAGCTAGTAGTTTTATTCTTGTCTCTATATGTTATTCTTGTAAGGCTCTCTTCTTTTATATATATATGTGGAAAACCAGCTAGCTATCCATGATAAGTTAGTAGGTTAAACTAAATTCTTTAATTCATACCCACATACCAAAGAGAACCACTTCTACTCATCCAGTGATTCTGACTCTGAAGATGAAGAACCAAAGAGGTACCGGATAGAGATCAAGCCTGTGCACCCAAATAACCTGCACCACACCATGGCTTCTTTGGATGAACTAAAAGTCTCCATAGGGAATATAACGCTTTCTCCAGCAGTGTCTGTAAGTATCTGAACACAAGCTGCTTTGTCCTATACATCAAAGCCTTGTTTATCTCATCTACCTATAGCCGGTTACTTTTCTAAAAATATTTTTTTATTTCTGTGTACTTGTGTATGTGTATGATGTATGTAGAGGGGACTGTGTACATGAGCCACAGGGTATATGTGGTAGTCGGGACAACTTTGTAGAGTCAGTTCTTTCACTTTATCTTATCATGGATTCTGGTGATTAGACTCAGGTTGTCATGCTATGTGTGTGACAGGTACTTTTTTCCTTTAACCTGCTGAGATACCACACCATCCATGGTTAATTTTAAGAACAGTAAATAAGTTTAAAAAAAATGAAGAACTAAAACACTGAGCAACAGTACATTGGTTGGGGAATTGATCTGTCTTTCTGTCTGTCTGTCTGTCTGTCTGTCTGTCTGTCTGTCTTTTGAGATAGGGTTTCTTTGTGTAGCCCTGGCTTTCCTTGAACTCTGTGTAGACCGTGCTGGCCTTGAAATCACAGAGATCCACCTGCCTCTGCCTCCTGATTGCTGGGATTAAAGGTGTGTAATACCACTTTTGTGCTATTTTGTGCTTTTTACAAAAGATTTGTTTGTTTTTTTAAGTTTGTGTATGTAAATTTTATTTTGTTGTCCATGTAGTATGTGTGTCTTTTTTCCCTCCCACCATATACCCCCTAGAGCCAAGTACTAAACCCAGGGCTTTGTGCTTGCTAGGCAAGTGCTGTACCACTGAATCCCCAATATTTCCTCCCCCTTTTATTTTTTTATTTACCAGAGCTGTTAGGTGTGTGGCTATTTGCTTGCATATATGTCTGTGTACCATGTATATGAAGTGTGCAAAGAAGGCAGAAGGGGAGTTAGATGCCCTGGAACCGGAATTACCGACAGTTGTGAGCTGTCATGTGGGTGCTAAGAATGGAATCTGGATCTTCTAGAAAAGCACCAGTGCTGGCAGCTGTTGAGCCCTCTCTCCAGCTCAGTTTATAATTTTTATATAGACAAATGAGGTCACTGATTTGGCTTACTTGTACTCTTGAAAACATTTTTAAGAAAGTGAAAATGTATTAGCTGGAGAGATGATTCAGTGCTTAAGAGCACTGGCTACTCTTCAGAGGACCCAGGTTCAATCCCAGTACCCACTTGACAGCTCATAAGTGTCAGTAAAGTCAGGGGATCTAGCACCCTCACACAGATACACATGCAGACAAAACACCAATACATATAAAAAGGATTGTGTGTGTGTGTGTGTGAGAGAGAGAGAGAAAATGAAGAACTTTTTGTTATTTGTTACATCTATAGATACTGCTGTTTGTCTCTGGTAAAAGATTGTGAAAAGTTGTTTTCCTCATCTAATTTCAAAGGTTTTGCTCTTGTGTTTTCAACTCTAATGTAAAAAGATGTCATGAAAATCAACTTAAAGGTTGATCCCCTCCCCCTTCCCCACATTTCTGGAGATTGAATCCAGGCCCTAACTTACGCTGTCCAAATACTTTACCACTGAGTGACATTCCTGGCTCTTCTTTGCATTTTTATTTTCTTGTCTTTCACCATAAAATTTGCGTTTAAGGAAGAAATAAAATAATGATGTAGCCATTGAGATGTCTCAGCTGTTAAGAGCACCTGCTATGTGAGCTCAAGTCCAGGAGTGAACTGACTTTCCAGAGTTTTCTTTTGGTTTCCATCCACATGCGTGCCTGCATCCATACACACGTGCATCTTACACACACAATAGTGATAAAATAAAAAAAACTAAAGTCATAAATACATTGATAATATATATTATTAATTCAGAAGTATTACAAAAAGGAAAAATCGTGTTTTAGAATGAGAAGTGTGTGTGTATGCATATTGTCATTGTTTAGAAGTTGGTTTTCTTAATAATGAAGTTCTTGCCATTTTATGATATCTAATTTGTATGCATGTTTTAATTTTTTTTAATTTTAATTTATTTTTGAGACAGACTGACCTGGTATATGACATGTAGACCATGCTGGCCTTGAATTCACAGAGATCTGCCTGTGTCTTCCTCCTGAATGCTACGATTAAAGGCATATGCCACCACCCCGGCCTTAAGTATATGTTCTGAATAAAATATAGTAGTCTATATATACATATGTTTTGAAGGTGAAAGTTTTTCTCTTATACATGTACTCATATTCTTGGGTATCAAATCATGGGTAGAACATCTGCCAGGCAAACACTATGCCCTTGGTTTGATACCCAGTAACACAGGAAGGGGAGGGAAGGAGGAGATAATTTTCGATGAAGGAAAATGGTTCTATAATTTAATTCTCAAGGGCATGCCTTAAAGATTTCAATAGTGGGATTTTAGTCTGTTACTACTATTTTAACATTGACTGTTATGTAGTTATAAAGAGACTTATATATGTAAAGTAGAGAATTGTGAGCCATTGACAGTTTTTAATTGTATAACAGCACAACTAATTAATATAGTGATATATTATTTGTGTTTTATTTTATTTATTTTTTTTTTAAATATTTATTTATTCATTATGTATACAATATTCTGTCTGTGTGTGTCTGCATACCAGAAGAGGGCAGCAGCTCTCATTACAGATGATTGTGAGCCACCATGTGGTTGCCGGGAATTGAACTCATGACCTTTGGAAGAGCAGGCAATGCTCTTAACCACTGAGCCATCTCTCCAGCCCCCTATTTGTGTTTTAATAAATAAAGCTTGCCTGAAGTTCAGTGGGCAAAACAGCTATACAGACCAGGGAGTGGTGGCACACACCTTTATTTTCAGGACTCAGGAGACAGAGGCAGGATCTCTGAGTTCAAAGCCCCTCTAGGCTACACAAGATTGATTCTGTCTAAAAGAGAAACAGAGTTCACACAGAGGTGATCCCAGCAGATGAGATCACACACCTTTAACCCTAGCACTGAGGTGCTGGGTGGAGGTGGAGACAGGAGTGATATGTTGGACAGAGAGAGAAATATAAGGGAGAAGAGACAGCAACTTAGTGGACTGTGGAGTGTAAGGATTCGTGGAGACAGGATCTCTCGCGCCTTCGGGCTGAAGATTTGGTAGAAGTAAAAGGTCTCTCTAGTGGTTGGCTACTTTGCTTTTCTGATGTTCATGTTGAACCCCAATATCTGTCTACAAATTAACAATACGGGTGAGCCAAAAGCTTAGAAGGATCAATATGTATTAAAATGTTACAGATCTCTTTAAGCAGTTGAGGTCATGAGTATTTTTAAAAAACTTTTGTGTCTCATCTGTCTTTTATAACTTCATACTCAGAGAAAAAATTTAGTAGTCAGTGTTGTATTTGGGAAGATTATCTTTGCATTTGTTTTGTTGCCCATTTGGTTAACTTGCATAATTTCTCCTCCTAACCATGTTTTAAGTTGTATTTATTTTAAGTGGTATTTAGAAGGAAGAGATAAATTATTAAGTGTGAAGAGAATTGAATTCTTTACTGAACACTGTCTTTCTCTTTCTTTCCATGCACTGCTAGAGGCACAGTCCAGTAAGTGTCAGATTTTATATTTCACCTATTGACTTTTAAAGAATTAGTGTAATTGAACATTTGATTTTAAAAATTTTGTTAAATTTGGATTACTAGTAAATTTTGTGGTATTTTGCATTAGATACTGTCTTAACATTTTAAGCACATTTTATTAAGTACATGTATTCTGTATTCTAAATTCAATTACTATACTATTGAAATCATGCTTATATTTAGAGGTACAATTACAACTACAGAGTTTTCATAAATGCAACTTATTGTTAAGTAGTTATAATAAAGACAACATAAAACTAGGTTCTTATTAGCAACATTTTGGCAAATATTTTGTTGCCAAGTTAAATTATTTGTTTAATAATACTTAGTTTTTGCATTTCTGTTTTAGGTGCAGATGAATCGGAATTCATCTAGTAAGTTTGACATAGGGATTGGTTATTTTATGTCTGTAAGAACATAGGCAGCTTGTTAGTCTCAGCCTTGTGTAATATTCTTTTCATTTTACCAGTCTCACTGGTTGGCTAGAAGGGTATTTTATACAGGCAAAAAAATTGCCTGTATTTCTGGTTGTATTAGGAGACATTTCTTAACCTTTCATGCAGCTTATAGAATTTCTTAGAAATCAACAAAGCCAGAGACTAACTTTTGATTAAGAATATGAAAATGGACTGGGGATATGGCTCAGTTGTTAACATAACTTAATATGTACACAACCCTTGGGTTCAAACCTCAGCTCTTTGGCAGAGGGGATTATGAAAATGTTTTATAAAATAGTAATCTTGAACTTTACTTATTTTAAAGTCATATTACAATTGTAGTTTCTATTTTATATCTTCAAAATAGCAAGTTTATAATACCAAAAATTTTAGGATGGCAATAATTTTTTTGCAGAATTATGTGCTATAAATCAGACTTAATAGGAAGCTTTTGTAATTTTGTAAACAGAATGCTTAATAAGAATCAGCCTTGATTAAAAGTTTAGCAAAATTGATAACACCGATTAAATTAATGATAAATACCAAAATTAAGGATTTTACCCTTAAACGAAATATTTGATGATAGAGGTTGTAGAGAAACTAGGCTAAGTGGAGTTGCTGTCAGGTGGAAGGTAATGCAGCAAACATCCTGAATAAGCTGAGGGAAAAGTAGTGCAAAAAGCATAGTGTACAGTGTGCTAACTTCTCTGTAATGTGCTGCAGGCAGGACCCACTTTGAGTCACTGCAGTCATTCTTGTTGCTTGGTGATATAGAACATTAAAGTGTGGGGAAAGTTTGTATTCACCAACATGGTCTTTCATTCCATGCTGTTCTTGTCAGTTGCTTATGAAATAAGACATGGCACAAATACAAAATGCAGCAGAAAAGAGTAGGACCTCCCTCAGTAGCTCATCATAACTGATGATTATATAATAGTCACTAGTAGTATTCTAGAACTTGAAAACTGATTATAGAATTCATGAATTAAAATTCTTAAGTAGAATACTCACAAGTACTTAAATGTTTCTTCTAATTTTTCTTATCACTTATTTTTTTCGAGATAAGATCTCTCTATGTAATCCTAGAACTAACTCACTGTGTAGACCAGGCTGCCCTTGAACTCACAGAGATATACCTACCTCTGCCTCCTGAGTGCTGAGACTATATACAGACCTGAACTATCATGCCCAGCTCTTAAACTTTTTAAAGTTAACAGTCTATGTTTTGTTCTATAAAGTTAATGAAAGAAATCAAAAATCAACAGAAATTCAGCGTGTTTACCTTTTTTCTCCCACAATCATTTGTATTTAATTTTTCTATTACAAAATTTATAAGTTTTTCTTAGTACTGGAATATGTAAGTATATAGAGGATCTTTTAATTAAAATATTTTTCTTCTAGGATTATTAGTTTTTCATAATATTTTAATTTTTTAATTAGATGAAGAGTTAACAAAATCAAAACCATCTTCTCTACCCAATGAGTAAGTTTGCTGTTTATTTCTTTTAATAGACTTTATTATTTTGAACAATTTTAGGTTAAGATCAAAACTGGGTGAAAGGTACAGAGATTCCCTTATATAGTCCTTACGCTTACATATACCAAGTCTCCTCTTCAAGTCCCTTACCAGATTAGTATATTTGTTACATCTTGACACATCCAAAATACATAGTCTAGAGGGGACACCTTTGATCTTGTGCATTCTGTGGGTGTGGGTAACTCTTCTTTTCCCCTACCCCATCTTTCCCTCTGTCCCTCTTTTGGCAGGTCTTAAGGACTGATATTGTAGCATCATAATCAGTATTTGTATTGCATGGAAATCTCATGCTTTGCTTAATCACTCCTTTTAAAACCACATTTATAATTTTTTTGTATTTTTCTTGTCCTCTTTTTCTAGAGTTATACAGTTAAGTTTTAGTTGTGTTGTTTTCTGAACTGTAAAATTTATGTTGGGGCTTTAAGATATTTAATAATTTCTTTTCACATGAAACGTCTTTTTATGGTGGTTTTTCTTAACTACATTTGACTTTGGGAGCCTTACTACCGCTTCTTAATGGATGCTGATATCTTAGGTTTATACACATCTGTTTTCAGATTTTTTTTAATAAAAGTTTTCTCATTTGTGTTTCATTTTTCCCCTTCACTTTGGATTGTGACTTATAAAAGGGACCATATGTCATGAGCTTCAAGATGAAGTACCTCAATTAAGATGGAAAGGCTAGGAGCCAGATAGTCATCTTTGTTGCTCTTAAAAAAGAAGGGAAATAAAGAAAATTGTTAAGCCAGTGTTCCATGAGTCCCTTTTCACTTCTCTACCACCAAGAGTACTTTCTTTGAGTTAATGTTTTAACATGAGTAAAAGTTTAGCTGAATGGAGTTAATAGTTAAAGATTATTTGTTACTTGTGAGGTACAAAATAAATATAGTGGTGCTGTTACTGGTTTTAGAGATAAGTTGTTTAAAGCTTAGTCTTTGGATGTCACTTAACGTAGTTATAACAGGGTTTATTGTACAAGGTAGAACTCATTTGCACTGCTGCATGTTGAAATACTAAATATGTGATTTTAGGTCATGGTGATAATTTTAGCAGAGTAGGCTTACATTCTACTCAAATTTCATACATATTTCACTCGGTTTGAATTTTATTTTAGACTATGCTAGAACTTAGACTGTTAGAAACTATTAGGTAGCTCATTTAGACTGCTGCCTGTCTTCACTTGTAAATCTGAAATCACTGTATTTCATATTCATTTGAGTGAGCAAGGTATGATCAAAGGAGACCAATCCTTATGGCTTTCCTTGCCAACAATACAATTAATATTGTAGATTCTGCTTATGCCCTTGGCTAAGTCTGTTGACTAGATTTCTCCATGTGCCCATCTATTTAATCACAGTCATTGAACTGGTATTCTGTGGAATAGAAATAAATGATTTAATGCTAATAAAATAATCTGCTAACTCGTTTTTTAACACGGTGTGCTAGGAAAGGAGCCAGTGATTTCCTTGCTTGGGACCCCTTGTTTGCATCACCTCTTGACTCAACTTCTTCAGCTTCATTAGCTTCATCATCGTCAGGTAAACGAAGCAAAACCAAAGTGATAAAATGTATATGAGAAAGATGTCTTATTTTTAGGAGTATAGTAGCTGCATTTTCCCCTTGATTGATTCCATTTTTTATTGTGTTTAATCATATAAAGTTCTCTTTTTAAGTTTGTCTTCCAATAATAATGAGTTCTATCACTACCACCACCAGTAAAAGAACACTAAAACACTTAAGGATTATATAATAATTATAATCACCTCCTTCAGCAGCTTCTACACACACTATCTGAGGGATGCAGATATAGTATTCATTTTTAAATACTTGTGTAGATAAGTATTGTTATTAGTTTTCCTTATAAAATAATTTTGATTACTGGAAGGAATTGATTTCACACTTTTACTGGGCTCTACTTAAGTCCATTTAGAATGACACTTGGACAGGCCTTCTGACCAGTAATTCCTGTAAAAATGCCTATGCTGGGTTAAACTTATCCACAGCTTAAAATACCAAGTTCAGTTCAGTGCTGGTTTCACTTACATGACCATATCTTTACAATAGCCATTAGTAGCACAGGGAAGTGCTGTAATTATTCAGGTTGGTACACGTTTCTGTCGAGTATGGGTAGCATGAAAAAAAAAAACAGTTATCATTTAAAAGGAGGCAGCAGCCTCTGAATTTAAACTTGATGTCTTCCAGCTTTTGGATGCCTTTCTGGAGCATGCACACATACTTTCATGTGACGTGCTTTCTAATGGTAATTCCTTCCTGTGAGTTTATTTTCCCTCCTACTGCTTCCTGTCATGCCTCCACTCCTTATTGATGACCAAGGAGTTTTAGCTTTGTATTTTATTTTCTCATGTGTTTACATAGGCTGGTTTATGTGTTTTTAATTTTGCACATCTGTGAATGTGGAGAACTTGGCAAATATACTTTTCCTACCCGCAGTTTTTTTCAATGTTTGACTTATAGCACATATTTTTGAGTGGACCAGAGGTTTTGAAAATCATTTTATTTGGAGATAATTTAAGGGCCAGCAGGTGGTATTGTGGCCAGGCCTAATGACCTGAGTTTGATCCCCAGAGCTCATATGGTAGAAAAGAACTGATTTCTGTAGTTGTTCTCTGACCTCCATGCACATGCCCACATATGCACAAAAATAAATTAGTGATTTTGTAATGATAATTTAAATATCTGCCTCTGTAATTCATCCCTACTTTGATTTTATACACACACACATACATATTTATATATTTGAATTTTGATTTTTTTATACTTGAATTTTATTTAATATAATAAAGGTTTGTAAATTAGGGATACTGTTTTTTTTAAGTTATAAAAGTATTGCAGATGGCATTGAAGCAGTGAACACTATTCATATAGAATTTAAGAAGAATGAAGGTATTATGAACATTTTAAAAATAAGTTGTACTGATTTGGTGCTATTTTTAAAAAATTAAAAGCATTTGTAATGCTTTTCATTATTTGAAGAATATTACAATGTGGTTCTATTTAAGTCAGATTGCAAAGTTTAATTAAGGTTAAGTGTGTTTTGACATTCACATTATTTTGAAGGCAGAGCTGGAAAGCCTTGCACTCATATTAGTTAGTCTCTGTGAATTAGATGTGTTGGAGTAAACGACCTTTGAATTTGAATTGGTTTTTTTAATCAAATTAAACCAGATTTAATTTTTATATTTATAAAATAATTGAAACAAGAACAAAATTTCTTTGTGTGTCAGTTTTATTGGAAAGTTTGATTGTTTGCAATAACTTTGATAAAAGGATACCTGATGGGCAGATTTTTTTCACTGATTCAGCAGATCCCCTTAATTATATTAACACAATTGAAGAATGGTCTTTGGATTCTAATAGCTCTTTTGTCTTTATCTAGGATTGCTACATACTAATGATTTTCTTCAAGTTCTCTTTTCTCTCCCTCAGCCAGACCCACAACTCCTCTTTCTATAGGCACCATTGTTCCACCTCCAAGGCCTGCTTCCAGACCAAAGCTTACTTCAGGCAAACTGAGTGGGATTAATGAAATAGTATGTATTCACGTTTTTTAAGTTATATAACTATTTTGGGTTTGTTTGTTTTTGAGACAGGGTCTCAGTGTATGGCCCTGATGCCCTGGTGCTCACCATGTAGGCAGGCTGTCCTCAAACTCACAAAGATTCACCTGCCTCTGCCACCACACCAGTCCCTAAAAATGGTATAATTGTTTTGACTTAAGACAGATATTTTTCTCTATGCCCCTGCTTAGTTAAATGCTTTTTTTCTAAAGTCCTTAAAGAATAGGAAGTTTCTCTACTCACTTCTCTCTTTTATACAGTCTGAAAATTATACTAGAAAAGCAACACACTGCCTAAGAAGACAGAGATTGCCTTTCAAAACGTTGGCATATTACACAAGGGGTGTCCATTGACTCAAAATAGGCAAGTTTGTGTAATTCTGCCTTAGTTTAATATATTAGAAAGAAAATATGGTATGTTTTAGACCTTATTGTTAGGAGATTCTCAGGGGGCATCTGTCTGTTCTAGCTTTATTTTTATACATAGGAGACAAGTCCAAAGCAGTTAGCTGACATAAAAGTACAAATAATAGGAAGCACTGGCTTTCAAAAGCCATCAGTAATGGCAGAAACACCTGTGGTCTCTACTTGGGTGAGTCCCAAGCCAGCCTTTGTGCCTCTGTGTTCTCTCTTTTGTTTCATCTTTCACACTCCTTGCTGTTTAATCACCGTAGTTACATTTCTGAAAGCCAAGCTTATTTTATTTTCTTTCTTCTTGGGTATTTTAGCTGAATGTAGAAGATACTTTATAAAGTTGCCTCAGTAGCCTGCGTCACATCCCAGCCCCCCTTTCCTATCTTTCCAGCCACTCAAACTTTCAGCTATTCTCCGAACACTATATGCTGTGTTTTTTCTTTTGTGTTCTTCTAAGGAGATAGGAATAGGATTGAACTAGGAATAGGATTGAACTTTGGGCCTCATCATGACACTTATACCCTCACACTACCATTGAGCTTGTTCATGCTATTTGATACATCCATGTTTTATTGTACTTCTTTGTTTGAAGTGACGGTTTTCTCTGAGGCAAAAATGGCTTTTTTCTTTAAGACCTAGCTATCCATCAGCTGCCTGGTGGTTATTCTTCCAGCAGATTGTATTGTTCTCTGTGGGCTGCCATACACTTGGCTTGTAGTTCTGTTAATGACTGTGCATATTACACTATGTAGACTTAGTATCTGTTCCCTCTTCTGGATTATGTATTAGTTTTTCATGTTCACATTGAATAAAACCCAGTACATAGATTGGAAATGTACTTTGAATGGAGGGCCACTTTAAAATGGTAGCCTCTTTCATTTCTTGTCCCCGTGAACTGACTTACTGAAAATGAGAGAAGACTAGATGTATGCTACCAAGGAGATAGCTATAATTTAAATAATATAAGAATCACTAAGTTTGTTTCTCTGTCTGTCTGTCTATTCATTCATTTATGTATTTTTGAGACAGGGATTCTCTGTGTAGCACTAGCATTCAGGAACTCACTCTGTAGACTAGGTTGGCCTTGAACTCAAGAGATTCACCTGCCTCCAACTCCCAAGTGCTGGGATTAAAGTGCTTGACTAGAATCACTAAGTCTTAACTTTCTTTTTTATTATTATAAAACTTGGTTTGTTTGCCTTTTTTTTTTTAGCCTCTAAACATGTTAGAAAATTTAGAAAACACAGAAAAATATGGATCCCATGTATTACCAAAGATAACTGAGTTAACAATTTAATATATAGCCTTTCATTGTTTTCCTAATGCATAAATATTTGATCAAAGATGGTAGATTAACAGTTACTATAAGGACAGGCCTATTAGCTGTTCAGTGTTAGACAAGTTTTAGTAAGATGCCTAGGGAAGATGAAAATAATTGATTTTGTAAGATTTAAGTGACTTTAACATATATAAAACTGTAAGGATGTTGTATACAGGTGATTGATTGCTCAAAAAGCTATGAAGCATATATATGTTTTACATATTTTTCTTGTTTTTACTTTAAAGTATTTTGGAATTGTCTTTATTGTGAATTCTTTATAGTCTTCAAGCTTCTTTAAAAGTAGTAGAATCCTGTGTCAAGTAATTAAAATCATTAAAAGTGAATTCATAGTTGAATAGTTCTATCAACTTTCTTCCTTGAGATCCTTCTTGAAACTACTTCAGGGACTTCAGGAAGCAATATGTCAAGTAGCTATAGAGTATTTCATTGTTTAAGTCTACATTGTAGAATTAAAGTCCTAAAGATTTTAGAAATTTGATAATTCTAAGTTCTTGTTAATATAGTAACTTAGTATAGCTATGCTTTGTAGACATTTCAGTATTTCCTTATTAAGTGATTTTTACAATGAAATTCTTGAACTAAATGGTATACACGTTTATTTTAGACCAGTGGTTTCTTAGCCTTCCTAATGCTGCAACTCTTTAATGCAGTTCCTCATGTTGTGGTGATTCTTCAGCCATAAAATTATTTTCGTTCTACTTCATAAATGAAATTTTGCTACTGTTATGAATCTTAATATAAATATCTGATATGCAGGATAATCTGATATGCGACCTCTGTGAAAGGGTCATTCAGTCCCCAAAGGCATCTCGACTTCTTTAGACTTTTGAGGATTGTTGTCTCATTGACTACTATAGCAATGGTGCCCTCTCTGTCTATCCCAAGGAAACCCTCATTGTCTTATAGTAGTTACCTCAGATGGTGTCTCAGACCAGCAGCATTAGTACAGCCTGGGAACTCAGTAGAAATGGTCTGTGCCTGTACCCAGACAAATCAGGAATTCAGGGAGTCGTCATTCGGTTTGAATATAGAGAAGTCTTCCATTGGCGTATAGTTTTAGAGCAATTCCACCCAAGAGGAATATGTACAGCAACATACAAACTTTTAAATTTTCTTGTAGTAAAAGCATAGAAATCCATCTTATCTTTTACTTAGTATTGCAAAATGTTTTTAATATACATAATAAAAGATTTTGAGATTTTTGCATTTTTAACGTGTACATTATCTTCAAAGTTCACTTTTATACTTATAACGCACCTCAGTTTGCACTAGCTGAATACCAGATTCTGCCGGTGACTGTGTTGGATAGTTGGTTGGATAGCAAGAGAAAATCAATTAGAAAAAAAAAACACTTTTCCTTTTCCACTAAGAATTGTAAAGTGCACTGTAAAAACCATCTTGCCTCTGGAGACATTTCCCCAAAGTAGTTGAACTGAAGATGTTTCCAAGTTTATAACTTTGGAACAGTATCTGTGCCTCTTTTCTGTATAAATATACAGTTGCCTGTTGTATTTTTTCAACCTATTAACTGTAGTGATTGATGAGTCATTAGAAAGCTTTTCTCAGGCAGAGCTACACAGAGAAAGCCTGTCTTGAAAAACCAAAAAAAGAAAAGGAAAAAAAAGAAAAAGCAAGCTGTACCCAAGGAAAAAAGATGCTTAAAAATAATTATTAGTGGGGTGGGGGGTTACAAATTGTAAAGTATTTCATATAGTTAAGTCTTATTTTTATGCCTGTAAGTTTTTGTTAATATAATGAAGATTTGACTTATTTAATATGTAAATACATGGTTTTTATGTTTGTTTTCGATATTTTATAGGTGAGAATAGTGTCTTTGTTTTTGTTGCCTCTATAAGCAGGGAATGACTATTTTTAATTAAGCTAAGTATGTTTTTAAAAACAAATAGTACACTGTAGAAAGTATTGCTAGTGTATTATTGGAATAATTAATTTGGAAAGAAAAAGTCCACCTACCAATGTAAAAGATAAAAGAATTGGAGATATATTTTCCCTGTTTGATTTTTATGTTACTTTCTAGTTGACCTCTTTTAAACAAGTAAACAACAAAATTAAAATTTTTCTCAAACCTTTGTTTGCTGTAGCTTTCTTAATAAGGAGGTATTTAAAAATTACAAAAGAAAATGTTAACAGATTTATCAATATAGAAAGTAAAGGACAAGCAACATTTACAGAGGAAAATATTGCAACAAATAATATTGTTAGTAAAAGTTCAAATAATAATAATAATAATACCTTTCAAAAACATTCATAAAAATGAAAATACAATGGCCAGAGAGATGACTTAATAATTAAGAACGCTTATAGCTCTTGCAGAGGCACAAGAATTGGGTTCCTAGAACCTACGTCGGGCAGCTCACAACCATCTGTAACTCCAGCCCAGAGAATCAATACCCTTATCTGGCTCCCACATACCAATTTCCTGTAAACATAGTAAATAGTAAAACTTAGAAAACAAACAAACATGAAAATATGCCTTTCTAAATTTGTATTAACTAGACCGTTTACAACTTGTGTTTCCTTATTCTATGACTATTGATGACAGACTACAGAGAACTAATCTCATATTTATAGAAATTATCGTGTACATAATCTCTGGAAGGCTGTTCGATAGTAGATACGAAGGACTTTCATTCAGTTCTGAGTACCTTATTATGTCTAATTTTTGAAATGCAGAAAATATTTTATGCCCCAAACCTTGAAACCATTGTTTTAAAATAGCCATATCAGGTTTCAGTATATTATTGGAAGTGATTTGACATAATATCGAATACATAGGNTCCCAGTACCCACTTGACAGCTCATAAGTGTCAGTAAAGTCAGGGGATCTAGCACCCTCACACAGATACACATGCAGACAAAACACCAATACATATAAAAAGGATTGTGTGTGTGTGTGTGTGAGAGAGAGAGAGAAAATGAAGAACTTTTTGTTATTTGTTACATCTATAGATACTGCTGTTTGTCTCTGGTAAAAGATTGTGAAAAGTTGTTTTCCTCATCTAATTTCAAAGGTTTTGCTCTTGTGTTTTCAACTCTAATGTAAAAAGATGTCATGAAAATCAACTTAAAGGTTGATCCCCTCCCCCTTCCCCACATTTCTGGAGATTGAATCCAGGCCCTAACTTACGCTGTCCAAATACTTTACCACTGAGTGACATTCCTGGCTCTTCTTTGCATTTTTATTTTCTTGTCTTTCA